AGTGGAAGAAGGGTATGGCGTCGGGGGAGAGAGGGGTCGGCCCCTTACCTTTGGGGGAGGCGGGGGTTGGCTCGGTGGCCGTCGGTGCCGGGGTGGCGGCCGGCGGGCTGAGTGGGGAGGGGGCGGGCGGGGGGAGGGCGGAGCGTCTCCATCCTCGTATCTCTGTCCCTATCTCACTCAAGAGTGCTTACTAATCAAATCAAAATTACTATTTCTTCTCTAAAAAATATTCCTCTTTTAAATAAAAATACATCTATATAGATCGGCCTCATTCTATTTCACTTTCTGAAGTTCTGAACTCTTAAATGACTTTTGCAGAGTTTTAAACTATTTTTACTTACCACTATTGTATTAGACGTTAGACACGGGAACATGCATGCTTTCTCGCTAGAAAGAAAGAATTCAAACGTTCATAGCACTGGATCATGCAGCAGCCACGCAGATTATTATGAACACGTACGCATCTCAAAATTCAGAGGGCTCTGGGGGGAAGAAAAACGCATCGAATCCTGACGAAGACGACGTACGGCGGGTATATATCAGCAATGGACTCAGAGGCTCCTGGCGATCATCTCCTGACACCGATCGTACGACTCCTGCTTCTCCAGCAAGAAGTTGGCACGGCACCTCGCGATGAACTGCTCCGCTAGTCGGTCGATCTCGTTCCCGCCGCCGGCGTCGTCGGCGTCTTCCTCCCCTTCGTCGTCTTCCTCCACGACCACCGCCTCGTCCGGCAACTCCTCCTCGAGCCAGCGCAGGTACCCACAGTACTCGCCCGCCGTCGCCGTGCCGCCCTCGATGCCGCCGGGAGCCGCTACCAGGACGACAACCGCGCTCCACGCCGAGTCGTAGCACGGGTACACGTGGTAGTTCACGTCCAGCGTCGCCTCGGCCGCGGTCCGAGCCGGCGACAAGCCGCCGGACCAGGTGAGATGCGGTGGCCTCTTCGCGAAGCCGCCGCTGGTGGTAGCGGCCTGCTGCCTGCTGGTCCTCTTCGTCTTCGAGCGGCCGCAGCCGATGGCGGTGTGCTGCTTCCGCCGCCGGCGCCGCGCTCCCCACTTGGTCCTGCCGAGGGCGTCGAGGAGCGCGGACTTGACCCTGGCGAGGGCGCGCAGCACGCGGCCGAACCGCGGGTACACGTGGGACTGCAGGATCGTGCTGATCTTTGGCGAGATGGAGCTCGGGAGCAGCGCCTCCATGTGGAGTGGAGCTGGCCGGCCGGCCGGATCAATCAGCCTGTTCAGGAGGCCGTATCGTATCGTGGGTTATTTACTGCTGGCTGGTTTGGTGGCACTGGTACGCACAGCGGTGGAGAGATGGAGATGGGAATGTACGGTACGGAGGTGGTCAGATGGACGCGTGCCGATCCACGGCGAAGGCCGGTGCTAGTACATGCCTTTATAGGGACCGGCCTTGTGTACGGAAATGTGTGTCACCGACTCACCGTAGTCTCGAATATATAAAAGATTTACATAATATCTATGTAAACCTGACTGACAATTTATTTTGCCATGCAAAGTGTTCACGTTAGCATCCAGAACATCCTAGTAACATATTCAATTATCTCGCTATACAAAATATCCACATCAATATCCACTAACACATCCAACTAATACATGCTATTATGTCTTTATTCAAGCTATTCACGTTAGCAAACCACATCATTTACTAACATATATTTAATTGTCCACATCAGAATGCTAAAAATCATCCACTAACATGTATTATGATATTTATTCAATCATATTATAAATATAAGTAGTATAATTTTACCAATGATTCCCACGGCAACGTGCGGGCCGTTCTTCTAGTTATTATTAAAATAGAAGAATTTGGACATACAAACGACACGCTTTAAGCGCCCTAGGTGGTCTAGAGTTACAGCAGAAAAGCTAGACCTCCCTAGTTTCTAGGTTGGACACCATATCTTCGGATTATACTAGAAGATACTTTCGCGCGTTGCTGGATTACGAAGAATTTGAATTGAAATTAAGTAAAGATGATGTGGATAGTTTGTATTAAGAGGTTGAAAATTAGTGGAATGATATAACTATTAGTGGGAAATAATCACTACTACACAATAACTTTTACAAAGGCGTTTCCAAAATGGCCTTCGAGGCGGTTGGACCGATTGTTCGCCTCGGTTACTTGTGGCAGGGCAACCGGCCCAGCAACCGCCTTGGTTAATGCTTAACCGAGGTGGACAATATAACAGAACTTAACCGAGGTGGGCAATATAACAGAACCGTCTCGGTTAATGCATATTAACTGAGGCGGACATTCTAACTCAACCGCCTTGGTAAATCAGGCCCAGCCCGCTAGCCCACACCAGCCCACTACCATCTCCATTATATAAACGAAATCAGAAACCCTAAACACTCCACTCTCCCTCTCCTCTCTTTCCCGCAGGCCGCAGCACTGTACCCTTCTCTCTACGGCGCGCTCGGCACCGCGACTTCCCTCTCCTTCCCTCGCAACCTCCCACTCCCTCTCCCTCCATCTCTCGACGACGCCCCTCTCCCCCACCGCTCCCCCACGGCACCCCTCTCCCCGACGGTGGCTCTCTCCCCCACCGCTCCCCCACGCGTGCGGCCTCCCTCTCCATCCCTCGGCGTGGCGGCGAGGCCTCCCTCTCCCTCCGGCGGCGCGGCCTCCCTGTCCCTCCGACGAGCGGAGCAGTGGCGGTGCAGATCCGACGGCTCCCTCTTCTCCCTCCCCTAGCTCCATGGATCCGATGGCGGCATGCACGGGGAGGCCGGATCCGGTGGTGGGGAGGCCAGATCCGGCGTTGACTCCCTCTTCTCCCTCCCTGACGTGCGCGGATCAGGCGGTGGCTCGCGCGTGGAGGCTGGATCTAGCTTCCCCAGCGGCAGATCGGGCAATGGGGAGCCTGCAGGGGCGGCGACGGGGAGCATGCAGGGGTAGCGACGGGGAGCATGCAGGGGCAGCGGCGGGGAGGCCTAGATCCAGGCCCAGTTGGGTTGCGGTTTTTTTTGTTTTTTAAATTTGATTTACCGATGTGGGCATTTCAACCGTCTCTGTAAATACCTGATTTACCGTGACCTTTTGGCCGAGGCGGTTGTGATGCCCGCCTCGGTTAAGTTTGCAGTAGTAGTGAATATGGATAGTTAGTGGAGAATGATTTGGATGGCTTGCATGTTAAGATAGATATGTGGTGAGATTAGGTTTATAAGAGATGAGATATGGATATCTACCGGGTCACCGTGAGTTTATGATGTTTCACTTGCAACATGGTAAGTGTATATTTCTACTTGCAAAAGTGGAATGCGGGGTTTGATCGGTCAATCAGGATATCAAGGTCACAGGCATCCTAATGGAATTTGGTGATCTTGTTCGCAGTTTCTGCATGCATTTCAATCTACTCTGAAAATTTGGGCTTAGTAATGGGGAAGCATGAGGCCTTGTTTCGAAATAAATTATCCGCTTCAGCAAGAGGGATTGAGAGGAACTACTTAAGCCCTCTTGGAGTATGGACAATAGACAATTATATTAGAGTATAAACAATGAAATATGTTTATGGACCTTGAGAACACCTCTTGTTGTCCAACACTTCTTTAGACAAGATTTGTCAATGGTCTAGATGACCGTGTGTTGATCATAGGATACCCCTATGCATCTTTTCGACGGGTCTTCCTGAGAGCGTTTATGGATGTTTCGGGCGAAGGACGAGCATCAGATTGGCCTCATCGATCTATTGATCGGCTTCATTGTTTAGACCTCCATCCGCCATGTATCTTGGCCGTGTGCGGTCATAGACAATTTAGCCCCTGCTAGTGCTAGTATGTTGGCAGGATTTATCGTCAACGTAGACTTCTGTGCCTAAGCAGTCAGCAAGATGAGAAGCAGTGTTGTTTGTCATATATATTTATCTGATCAAGAAGCAGCATTATAGATTGAAGAGTTGGAGTATTACTAATCAAAGCTGAGGGCTACGGAAAAAGAAAAATTAGATCTCGTTATGACGCAGCAGGGTTCAGTCAGTCCGTGCATGCTTACGATTGTGTGTTCAGGAATCAACCTTATATAGTAGTCTCTCCAACGCAGAGTAGTTTTGAAACAAGTATCACGATATTCCGTTTTCAGAGTCAGAAAAAAAAAGAGGGGATGAATTGTGAAAATCTCATCTCAAACTTAAAAGATCTTAACATATTACGGTGTCACTATCTGCAACATGCATGGATAAAGGGCTCAGCTGCATGCAGCTCGAATGCTTGATAGCATGGTGTGCAGAACAGCTGGAGCCCTGGCCAGATTAAGCAAACAAGCAGCATCAAACGGCCATTGTCGCTGTGATTTATCCCCGTTTCGGGAGCAGCAGAAGCGGAGCAAGAAGGACGAAGAGTTTCTCCTCCACTGAACGTTGCGTGGCCTCTCAACACTGTCTGTTATGAACCCTTCTGGTCTGCATTACTCCAATAAGCTCTGGTCTGTTCACACTTTAGAGGACACCGAGGATCCAGCCTGGCCAGCCAGCTCCTGTCTTCTTCCTCCTCCCGGCCACTTGTGTTCGTTGCGGCCAGTCGTCGAGTGACGAGAGGCCATCAGGCCATGAATGCATTGTTGGCCGCGCTGTGCATGCATGGCTAGCTCATCACAACTCTTCTCTTGTTCTTCAGCTGGGTATGTATATGCATGTGTGACAAACTAACAACCGATCGATCGAGAGAGGGATCGACTGCGCCCATGCATGACGTAGTACGCCATGGACGGATGCGTGCACTTGGGCGCTCATGCGTCTTGCATGCGTGGCTGCCAGAGGACGTGCGAATCCAGTTGTTGGGATACTCTCTCGCGCATGCGTGCGGTGTCTCGCTCGCCATGCATGGAAGCGAATGCGAGAAGCGGCCGGGCCATCGAGCATCAATCATTCGTGACTCGTGAGCACAGCTCGGGCGCAACGGCGGGAGAGATTATTCCATTGCATCACCCGTGGATTCGTGACTCGGACCTGCACCGGATCAGCGTCGGCGCGGTCGATCATGCCATGCGCTCGCTCGCTGATGGCTGCCGGCCTCCCACTGCGGGCGGGGAGCCGGGGACTGTACATGCGCGGCACACGACACGGTTATTCACGCCGGGCAGCGCGCGTCGCATCGACGCGTACGTCGTCGTCGCCGAGGGGCCTGACGAGCGAGAAATCCATCTAGAACGTCGTTGGAACCTGCTCCCTTGCTGCATTGGCAATGGAGCTCCTCGTTGCTTCGCGTCAGCTATGAAAAATAGTTTAGTGCTGAAACAATCCATCCAGTGTTCAAATATGTATTCATAGACCAAGACAATATATCCATTTCATAACCAAGATGGATTTAGTCAAAAAATGACGGGAGTTTAACTCATTGAGCATTACGATTTTGATAAAAAATGTTTTGATATGAGATTGTATGGAAAATTATGATTTTTTAGATATATATGCATCTTAAGGGAGTGAACAAATGACCTCAATCTATCCACTCACTAGCACAACATATTTTAGAAAAAACACAACCTTTTCAGATAACCTAGTGTAGAGATAAAATTTATATGACTATTCTTGAATTATTTTTATGAAATTTTTATATTAAAAAAACATTTCTAGTCTGATTTACGTCCTTGAATTTTTAAGTTAGTGTGATTTATTCAGCAAACCCAGCATCAAAACCACCTAGAATGCACAAACAAACCTTTTTTTAGAATTACACAGTACAGCGTAGACGCCCAGAACACGCACGCACACTCATCCTTATGAACACACGACAACGTACGTAACCTCGAAGGGCTGAGCCGGCAGATCTCGAGATTCACGAAGTCACCACTGGCGTCTCGCTATCAACAGGGACGTCGGCTATCACTGAAAGCATAGCGCCGAGTCAAAGACTTGAACCCGAGTTGGTAGGTTTCACTACAAGAAGCCTAACCAAGTGAACTATGATCAGTTCGCCGAACAAACAGTTTTAGAAGTTAAAGAAGGGATAAAAGAACTGTTTTGGCAAATAAAGGGGATTCGAAGAGGTCAAAAGGATTTTTTTTCCTTGCAAAAACCACTGCAGCCCACCAAATGTCCCAGCCCATTATCACACCTGATCACTGGAACGCCCATAGCCACTGGCCCACGACAGTAACCCTCTAAACTCCGCCCCCAACTCCCCAGTGGCCTCCCTGCCAACCTAGCCGCCGGCGCACATCGCGCAGGGAGACGACGCCACGAGGGGCAACGGTGATGACGCAGAGGACACGCGCGCTGGCGGCGACGGCGGACGGCGGACAGTTGCCCCGTTACTCAATCGACTACTCCCTCACGCAAAGCACCAGATAAGAAAGTTCAATCCTACATTCCTACTCCTTGCTTCTTCATTCTTTTAGCACCGACATCACAGATTCACACTCAGTAGAGTAAGCAAGCACGTCTCTCTCCCATAGCCGAGAACAGCAGTCTATAGCTCGCTTTCTCCGTTCTTGTCTCCACAAGCAAGCAATTGGCACCAAGATTTTCTCATTTGCTCCCTCGATTTTTCTGTTCGTCTCTTGTGCCATTACAGAGGCACAGCGTCGGGGACACATGAAACCTGGGCAGGCCAGCAAAGGCGGGCCCAAAGTGCAGCCCAGATAGACCCATGACTACACTGGACTTGGGCCTAACCCAAAGTCAGATATGAGTCCAGACCCAAAACAAGGCCGCCGACGCCAGCGAAGGCACTAGCTTTTTTTAGTAGCCCATATAGGCCCATGACTACACTGAACTAGCTTTTTTTAGTCGCTAAAAGAAACTAGTTTTTTTTAAAGGTTTTTTTTGAGTAGTCGCCAAGGAAATAGCAGATCTACTTAAAAAAAAAAGCTACTAGTTCCTTAGATCTTGCTAATAAAAAAAAGCGACTACGAAGGCCCGCTGCCGCAACCGTCCTACGCACGCGGCAGCCGCGCCACGTTCTCCAGGTCGTGCCGACGTCCAACGAAGAAGAAGGCCCCTGGGGCGCTGGCTCGCATCGCAAGTCGCCTCGCCGGCAAGAATCTTTGCAAGCGGACCCTTGAGCTCGTCTGCTCGTGCGTCTAGGTTCGTCATTTGTTTCTTGGCCCTGTTCGATTATGTACGTGCTCGCTTTGGGTTCAGGGTTTCTTCAATTCTTCTTATCCGGTCTTGATGATTGATTGTGGGCGAATTTGCAGCCTCTGAGGCCAAGTTCCTGAACCGGGGAATCAAGGAAGTCGTCAGGAGCATCTGCTGTGGAAACATGGGGTTAGTACCTTTTTCAGTTCTTTCGTCTGCTTGTTCAGTGCTTGGTCACTTGTAATTCCCTATTTGGTAATGTATAAGTCCGAATGACCGATAGGGCAATTCAGTTCGTGGCAATAAGCAGATGCCATAGTAAGCTTGTATCTTTCTCTTTTAGGAAACACACCATGTCCAATGAAGCAGCAAATCATCCAAGAACTACTGTTATTTATATTGTAGTTCATGACCTAATGCGGTATATGTTTGTATACCGAATTTCTTGGCAAATGTCCTAGCTTCTTCTTGCGGGGTTGGACAAGGCTGTCTTGTTGTCATTGATCTGCTTGTCGATTGCCTCGGTGGGGTGGTTTCTAGCGTGAGCGTGGTAGAGAGGAGAGGAAGTGATGTCCTTGTGACTCTGTTTGTATCATCATCCATCCACAACCTTGCCGGGACATGTAGTCCAGTTCATCCATTTCATTGCAGATCCCTTTGCTGTATGGATGCCAGTTCATTCATTTGCCAAACAAACTTGGGCAGAAAATATCAAATTTTTATGTTGATATAATTTATTTAGAAGAAATGTCTATTTCTGTATGTTTCATCTGGCTCATTGCAAATCTCTTGCCGTGTGGATGAATAGGGACTGAATTATCAGTAGCTGTCCATTCATGTGCCAAACAAATTTGGGGTTACACTGAATTGAAGTGAACAAGTCTTTATGTCATGTTATACCCGTATCCGTTTCCTTTCTTGGGGTGGGGTGGGGGGTGGGGGGATGTTTCTGGTGTTATACTTTGTTCAGAAGTAAATGTATATTCCTGTTTTTCTCATGTGTTTGCTACCTTGTCCATTTTTTACACTTTAGATATCAGCTCAGTTCATTTAACATTAAACTTGGATGCTTTACTTCTTTCAAAAATAAATGCTTGTATCTGTATGTTTCATACATCTGTTAGTTCTTCTCTTCTTTACACTTTAGATAAGGATTCAGTTGAGCTAAAATCAAATCGTGATGGTATACCTCGTTACAAACAAATGTCTGTTTCCGTATGTTTCATGCTCCTGTTAGCACTTCCCTTTTTACGTTACAGATGTGAATTCAGTTGAGTAAACATCAAATTGTGATTTTGTATTTCATTCAAAATAGATGCCATCTGTTAGCTCTCTTATTCTTTTATACTTCAGATATGAATTCAGTCAAGTTAACATGAGATTGTGATGCTATACTTCGTCCAAAAATAAATGTTTCTGTATGTTTCATGCTTTTGTTAGCTCTTCTCTCTTTTACACTTCAAGATATGAATTTAGTTGGGTTAAATGAATCAATTTGAGACACTGACTTGTGACATTCTTTTTTATTGACGTTCCAGGAAAATGTCATCGAATCCTGATGAACCTAAGAGTCGTGCCCGGACAGACTTTTTGCTCAACAATGAAGCAGAGGTTCAGATGTTTTGGGATGAGAACAAAGTTTTTGAGGCTGATCCTGGCAATAAGCCTCCAAGCCCCGGGGAAAAATTCTTTGGGAACTTTCCATACCCTTACATGAATGGCTTGCTGCATCTGGGCCATGCCTTCTCGTTGTCCAAGCTTGAGTTCGGTGCTGCATACCACAGGCTTCATGGCTCCAATGTCCTTTTGCCCTTTGCTTTCCACCGCACTGGAATGCCCATCAAGGCCTCAGCTGATAAACTTGCTAGGGAAATTCAACAATATGGATATCCTCCAGTGTTTCCCGCGGCAGAGGATTGTAGTGCTGCAGTAGATGCTATCGAGGCTGACCAGGCTGATGTTGTTGCCCCAAATAAATTTAAGGGGAAGAAGTCCAAGGCTACTGCAAAGGCTGGCGCATACAAGTACCAGTGGGAGATCATGAAGAGCTTTGGTCTAGATGATGAAGAAATTGCCAGGTTTCAAGATCCTTATCACTGGTTGACTTACTTCCCTCCGTTGGCAAAGGAGGTTCTCAAGAAATTTGGCTTGGGTTGCGACCGGAGGAGGTCATTCATAACTACTGACATGAATCCATACTATGATGCTTTTGTCAAGTGGCAGATGAGGAAGCTGAAGAAATTGGGCAAGGTTGTTAAAGACATGAGGTACACAATCTACTCTCCGTTGGATGGCCAACCTTGTGCTGATCATGATAGAGCAACAGGTGAAGGTGTGCAACCACAAGAATACATCTTGATTAAAATGGAGGTGATATCACCTTTTCCTCCCAAGCTGAAGGCATTGGAAGGGAGGAAGGTATATTTGGCAGCTGCTACACTAAGACCTGAAACGATGTATGGAGAGACAAATTGCTGGGTGCTTCCTGATGGAATGTATGGTGCTTTTGAGATCAACGACACTGATGTCTTCATCCTTACAGCAAGGTCTGCTCTTAATCTTGCATACCAACACCTATCCAGGGTCCCAGAAAAACCAACCTGCTTGTGTGAGCTTTCTGGCAATGATTTGATTGGTTTGCCACTGAAATCTCCTCTTGCCTTCAATGAAACCATATATGCTCTTCCTATGCTCACTGTCTTAACTGACAAAGGTACTGGCATTGTGACTAGTGTTCCAAGTGATTCACCTGATGATTTCATGGGACTGCAAGATTTAGTGGCAAAGCCAGCATTGAGAGCAAAGTATGGAGTGAAAGATGAGTGGGTTCTTCCATATGATATTATGTTGGTGCCTCGGCTACCTTGCATAGGTAAGCAGTAAGCTTACCAGCACACTCACTCACTATGGCTAGAGGTAGAAGAAGATATTGAGAACAGTTCAGTTTGCCACATCCAGAAGCAGAGCTTTCGGCCAGCGCTGGGCTTGTGCTATTAGACATAATCTGCTGCTCCCATCTCTCTCTTGACTGGTCGGCACAGCTGTCCTCTCCTGGTCTAGGAGATGGAACTGGTCGGCTCGGCTGACCACTCACTGTTGTTGCAGCAGCAGTGAGGCAGTAGGTAGAAATGGCTTACTTCAGCCATGTAGTGTAGAGATGGCTAAGCTAAACCTTGTACCTTAGGAGTAGGTAGTTGATATACTCACTAACAACTATGTACCTTAGGAATAGATAGTTGGTGTACTCACCAACAACCATGTACCTGGTAGAGGTACAGCTAGAGTTGTATATATTCCATCCAAAGACAATGAAAAAATTTAGTTCAGTTTGCCACATCCAGAAGCAGAGCTTTCGGCCATCACTGGGCTTGTGCTGTGTGTGTGAGCTGTTCTCAATATCTTCTTCTACCTCTAGCCATAGTGATTGAGTGTGCTGGTAAGCTTACTGCTTACCTGTGCAGAGCAGCTGAGGCACCGACAAGTGGTATCAGAGCCGTACAAGCGCCGCGCCGGACTAACCGCTGGCGATGACGGACGGTTTGGAGATGGGCGACAGCAGCGGTGCTGCTGTGGCTGCCCAGCCACGACAGGAGGTCGTCGTGCGCACGGTGCGGGAGATCAGCGGCACCAATTGGTCGACGCTGACTCGCACCAACTATGGCGAGTGGGCGGTGACCATGAAGGTCAAGCTCAGAGCCCGACGGCTCTGGAATGCCATTGACAAGGGCACCGACAACGAAGAAGACGACATGTCAGCATTGGAGGCTATCATCGCTGTTGTGCCAGCAGAGTACAAGGAGCCGTTGGGGGCGAAGAACTCTGCTAAGGTGGCGTGGGAGGCCATTACAGCGATGCGCGTCGGCTCCGACCACGCAAAGAAGGCGACGGCCCAGCTGCTGAAGCAGGAGTACGCCAACCTTAAGTTCAAGGATGGTGAGTCGGTGGAGGACTTCTCCCTCCGCCTGCAGTCGCTCATCAGCAAGCTGAGGAGCCACGACGTCACCATCGACGAAGAAGAGGTGGTCTCCAAGTACCTCCACTCCATGCCGGTGAAGTACATCCAGATCGCTCTCTCCATAGAGACGATGCTGGACTTGTCCACCCTCACTATTGAGGATGTGAAAGGCCGTCTACAGGCGGTGGACGAGCGCATGGAGCAGGCCACAGCAACGACGGACAGCGGCAAGCTGCTGCTGACAGAGGAGGAGTGGGCTGCTCGGATGAAGGAAAAGAATTCCGGGGAAGCCTCTAGCCGCGGTGGCGATGGCAAGCGCCGCGGCAAGACTTCTTCGGAGAAGAAGAAGAAGAAGAAGAAGAAGAAGGTCGACCCCAACGCCTGCCGGTGCTGCGGGAAGACGGGCCATTGGGCAAAGGAGTGCCCAAATCGCAAGCAGGAGAAGAAGGTTGAGGCTCATTTAGCGCAGGCTGATGAGGATGATGAGACCACTCTCCTGATGGCGACGTTCTGTGCACTGCACGACGTTGAGGCCAAGGAGAAGGGAGAAGTGATGGCGGTGGATGGGCACGACAAGGCTCTGAAGGTTGTCAACCTCAACGAACCGCGCGCCCAAATCCACCTCGGACGTGTGGGCGGTGAGCAGGAGCAGCGGTGGTACCTGGACTCCGGCGCCAGCAACCACATGACGGGCTCCAAGGCAGCCTTCTCCGAGCTCGACGACAACGTGACCGACACGGTGAAGTTTGGTGACGGCTCAAGGGAGGCAATCCGAGGGCGCGACACCATCATCTTCAGGTGCCAGAACGGCGAGCACCGCGCGCTGACGGATGTATATTACATCCCGCATCTGCGTTCAAGCATCATCAGCATTGGCCAGCTGGATGAGCGCGGCAGCGAGGTACTAATCAAGGACGGCGTCCTCAGGATCAGGAACCGGGAGCAGCGGCTTCTTGCCAAGGTGAAGAGGTCCAGGAATCGGCTGTACCTGTTTGACTTAAAGGTGGAGCAGCCCATCTGCTTGGCTGCACGGCACATGGAGGAGCCGTGGCTGTGGCATGCCCGGTATGGTCATCTCAGCTTTGACGCTCTTGGTCGGCTGGAGAAGATGGTGACTGGGCTGCCTCATATCGAGCACGCAGGCGTGCTGTGTGACAGCTGCCTGGTCGGGAAGCAAAGAAGGTTGTCGTTTCCGAAGACGGCGAAGTACCGCGCGACAGAGGACCTCGAGCTGGTCCATGGTGACCTCTGCGGGCCGATCACGCGCGGCGACGCATGGCAAGCGCAAGTACTTCATCCTGCTGGTGGATGACTGCAACCGGTTCATGTGGCTGCAGCTTCTGACCAGCAAGACCGAGGCAACAGAAGTGGTCAAGAAGTTCAAGGCACGCGCGGAGGCGGACAGCGGCAACAAGCTGCACGTGCTGCGGACTGATCACGGCGGCGAATTCACTTCAGTGGAGTTCGCTACGTACTGCGCGGATCAGGGTGTGGTGCGACACCACACCGCGCCGTACTCGCCACAGCAGAATGGCGTGGTGGAGCGGTGGAATCAGACGGTGATCGGCATGACTCGATCCATGATGAAAGCCAAAAGCTTGCCGGCAAAGTTCTGGGGAGAGACGGTGACCACGGCGGTGTTCATCCTCAACCGCGCGCACACCAAGGCCCTGAAGGGCAAGACGCCGTTCGAGGCTTGGCATGAACGCAAGCCGAATATGTCCTTCCTCAGGACATTTGGCTGCGTCGGCTATGTGAAGAACACCAGGCCTCACCTCGGCAAGCTGGAAGACAGGAGCACGCTACAAGGAGGGCACCAAGGCGTATCGGCTCTATGATCCCAAGAGACGCAAGGTGGTGATCTCTAGGGATGTGGTGTTCGATGAGATGTCGGCCTGGGACTGGGAGCAGCACCTTTGTCGTCGAACACTTAGTCATCCACGGTGGTGGAGACGCTGGAGAAAAGGTGCCGACCACCCCAGGAGTGGTGTCGAGCGGTCCAGCAGCAATGCCGACCACTCCAGAGGGGGTGCCGAGCACTTTAGCAGCAGTGTCGAGCGCTCCAGCAGTGGAGCCGACCACTCCAGCAGTGGATCCGACCACTCTGGCAGTGGTGCCGAGCGGTCCAGCAGTGATGCCGACCACTCCGGCAGAACAGGGAGGCCGGGGACCACCGATCGAGTTCACCTCCCCTCCAAGCGACATCAGCGAGTTCGTGGATGCCTTCCACGATGGCGAGGATGTGCGGTTCCGCAGGCTGGACAACATCGTCGGTAATGCAGGGGCCACAGGCCTGGCGAGTCGGCTGCTCGACGATCCAGAGCGACCGACGTTTGCAGTGGCTGAACGCGACGCCAATTGGCGACGGGCGATGTTGGAAGAGATGAAGGCCATCGAGAACAATGGCACATGGGAGCTGGTAGATCCACCGGTGGGCTGCAGGCCGATCAGCTTGAAGTGGGTCTACAAGGTGAAACGGGACGAGCGCGGCGCCATTGTCAAGTACAAGGCTCGGCTCGTCGCTCGCGGCTTCGTGCAGCGTGAGGGCATCGACTTCGAGGAAATCTTTGCTCCGTTGGCGCGAATGGAGTCCGTTCACTTGCTGTTGGCCATGGCGGCAACGATGGATTGGCGCGTCCACCACCTCGACGTCAAGTCTGTGTTCCTCAACGGCGAGCTCGTGGAGACGGTCTTCGTCAAGCAAGCTCCGAGCTTCGCCGCCAAGGGCGCTGAGCACAAGGTGCTCAAGCTGCGCAAGGTGCTCTACGGGCTGCTGCAGGCCTCTCGGGCGTGGAACGCCAAGCTCGACGCCACCTTGGGCGAGCTTGGGTTCACTCGTTGCGCTACAGAGCACGCGGCGACGGGGGAAGGAGGAGCTCGGCGGCGGCGTGTACGTGGATGACTTAATCGTCACCGGAGCGCGAGCAGAGGACATCGACGATTTCAAGCGCGAGATGGCGGCTCGGTTCAAGATGAGCGATCTCGACGCGCTCTCCTACTACCTCGGCATCGAGGTGAGGCAGGAGAAGCAGAGCATCTCCCTGGGTCAGCACGCCTACACGGAGAAGCTGCTGGAGCGCGGCGGCATGATGGAGTGCAAGCCGTGCGTGACTCCGATGGAGCAGCGGCTGAAGCTGAGCAAGCACAGCACTGCTGCGAAGGTGGACGCGACGCACTACCGAAGCATCGTCGGCGGGCTGCGTTACCTCACTCATACCCGACCGGACATTGCATTCGCGGTTGGGTACGTCAGCCGTTTCATGGAGGACCCGCGCGAAGATCATTGGTCGGCAGTGAAAAGGTTGATGCGCTACGTCAAGGGGACGCTCGATCAAGCGATCATCTTCCCCAAGAGTGGCGGCAAGGGTGGGTTGCGGCTCACGGTCTTCAGTGAAGCACCCCCCAAGGCAAAGGAAGATGAGCCATAACTCATTGTCTTCAGCGATGCGGACATGGCGGGCGACATTGATGGGCGACGGAGCACCTCCGTCGTGCTCGTCTTCTTTGGAGCGGCCCCCATTGCTTGGCAGTCGCTAAAGCAAAAGATCGTGGCGCTGTCGACGTGTGAGGCGGAGTACGTCGCAGCGGCCACGGCGGCGTGCCAGGCTGTCTGGCTGCGTCGGCTGCTGGGCGAGCTGACCGGCGAGAAAGCTCACCCGCTAGCTCTGATGGTGGACAACCAGCCCGCCATGGCCCTCGCTAAGGACCCTGTTCTCCACGACCGGAGCAAGCACATCGACATCAAGATCCACTTCCTTCGGGACTGCATCGATGGAGGGCAGATCGTCATCGAGTTTGTCGAGACCGGCAGACAGCTTGCTGACATCCTCACCAAGTCACTCGGACGCCTGCAGTTCATGGAGAGTTCATGGAGCTGAGGAAAATGATTGGCATGGATGAGGTCAAGGCATCAGATTAGCAACAGGATTAGGGAAAAATTTGTTAGACATAATCTGCTGCTCCCATCTCTCTCTTGACTGGTCGACACAGCTGTCCTCTCCTGATTTAGGAGATGGAACTGGTCGGCTTGGCTAACCACTCACTGCTGTTGCAGCAGTGAGGCAGTAGGTAGAAATGGCTTACTTCAGCCATGTAGTGTAGAGATGGCTGAGCTAAGCCTTGTACCTTAGGAGTAGGTAGTTGGTGTACTCACCAACTATGTACCTTAGGAGTAGGTAGTTGGTGGACTCACCAACAACCATGTACCTGATAGAGGTACAGCTAGAGTTGTATATATTCCATCCAAAGGTAATGGAAAAACTCAGTTCAGTTTGCCATATCCAGAAGTAGAGCTTTCGGCCAGCGCTGGGCTTGTACTGTGTGTGTGAGTTGTTCTCAATATCTTCTTCTACCTCTAGTCATAGTGAGTGAGTGTGCTGGTAAGCTTACTGCTTACCTGTGCAGTGCAGCCGAGGCACCAACATATTATACCAATAATCCACATTCCTGAATTTGGAGACAAGTCAGCAGAGAAGGTTTGCCATGATCTTAAGATTAAAAGCCAGAACGACAAGGAGAAGCTTGCTGAAGCAAAAAGAATGACATATCTGAAGGGATTTACTGATGGAACAATGGTTGTTGGTGAGTTCAGTGGTAAAAAGGTTCAAGAAGCGAAGCCGCTGATTAAAAGCAAGCTTTTGGAAGAAGGCACAGCTGTGCTGTATAGTGAGCCGGAGATGAAGGTCATGTCTAGATCTGGTGATGAATGTGTTGTTGCCCTCACTGATCAGTGGTACATAACTTATGGTGAGGCTGAATGGAGGCAGAAGGCAGTCAGATGTTTGGACTGCATGAATACATTCTCAACTGAAACCCGTAATGGTTTTGAACACACATTGGGCTGGCTGGTTCACGTTCTTTTGGCCTTGGTACTCGAATTTCATGGGATGAGCAGTCCCTTGTAGAATCTCTCTGATTCAACCCTATACATGGCTTACTATACAGTTGCACATCTTTTGCAAAATGGTAATATGTATGGGAAAGAAATATCTTCAGTAAGGCCAGAAGAAATGACAGATGAAGTCTGGGATTTTGTGTTTTGTGATGGCCCAGCACTAAAAAGTGACCTCCCTGCTGCTCTGCTGGACAAAATGAAGCAGGAATTTGAGTATTGGTATCCATTTGATATCCGTGTGTCTGGTAAAGACCTTATTCAAAACCATCTGACATTCTGCATATACAATCATACAGCACTTCTTCCTGAGCACCATTGGCCTCTTGGTTTCCGCTGTAATGGGCATCTTATGCTTAATTCTGAGAAAATGTCCGAGTCCACAGGAAATTTCCTAACTCTCGAAGATGCCATCAAAAAGTACTCTTCTGATGCCACTAGATTTGCCCTTGCTGATGCTGGCGATGGTATGGATGATGCTAACTTTGTAACTGAAATTGCAAACTCTGCTGTTATGAAGCTTACAAAAGAAATTTCATGGATGGAAGAGGTTACAGCTGCTGAATCTAAATTAAGAGCTGGGCCGCCCACTACATTTGCTGACCGTGTGTTTGCAAACGAGATGAACATTGCAATCAAAGAAGCTGAGAAGAACTACAATGCTTTCATGTTCAAAGACGCCCTGAAGTTTGGGTTCCGTGTCCTCCAATTGGCTAGAGATGAGTACAGGCTCTCTTGTGGCGCAGCAGGCATGAACCGTGATCTATTGTGGCGATTTATGGATGTCCAGACCAGGCTCATCACCCCCATCTGCCCACACTATGCCGAGCACGTGTGGCAGAAGATCATGAAGAAAGAAGGCATAGTAATAAAAGCTGGCTGGCCAGACGCAGACACCCCAGATCCGACGCTGAGAATTGCAAATAAATACTTGCAGGATTCCATAGTTTCGATGAGGAAGCTGCTTCAGGAGCAAGAGTCTGGTTCCAAGAAGCCTAAGAAAGGAGCTGCACCAGCACCTCCATCCAAGGAAAAGAAGATGAGCATTGGCCTTATATATGTGAACGAGCACTACTGTGGCTGGGAAGAGCAGTGCTTGAGGGTGCTGCAGTCCAAGTTTGACAGCCAAAGTCGCTCTTTCGCACCTGATCAGGAAATAGCAGAAGCTCTGAAGGGGTGTACTATCGGGCAGGAAATGAACTTGAAGCAAGTTCAGCAGCTGTGCATGCCCTTCATCAAGAAGAAGAAGGATGAGGCAAGGGAGGTTGGTCCTCAGGCACTGGACTTGAAGCTTCCGTTCAGTGAGATGGATGTTCTCCGGGAGAACTTAGAGCCGATCAAGAGGCAGCTGGGCCTTGAGCAAGTTGAGGTGCTCCCAGCGTCTGATGAAGCTGCTCGCGCTAAGGCAGGTGAGCATGCTTCGCTGCTAGAGAAAAAAACCACCATCACCCGGTAAACCCATCGCCATCTTCCTCAGCAAACAGAGCTGAAAACTGAACTTGCACTATTGCTAATAGTCCGAGCATATAGCCCTTTTCTTATTCATTTTGCCGCACATTTAGGAGCTGTATGTTAAAGATTGATAACGGAGTATGTTTTCCTTTGGTTTGGTGAAACCAATTCGTTTTTCTGTCAACAGCGTATGTTATCCTTTGGTTTGGTGAAACCAGCTTTACATCTTTCTGTTCCGGTGTAATTCATTACTATGATTAGACTGCAGAAATAGAGGCGAAAGCTCATGATGATTACATTTTGAGTATTACAATGTTTGAAACAATGTCTTTTTGAACAAGATACAACACATTCATGTATGTGCGTGCATTCTCCAATGCGGCGCTGCGCGCTTGCGTGTGTTGAGCCAGTCCGCGATGCATAGCATAAGTGAGTTTATATGGAGACGATTAGTATGAGGACCAGCTCATGTGCCTCCACTACCTCTGTGGGATAGAAATGGTTGGATACATTTATACATATTGATGTGTCTATTTAGCGATGTAATGCGTATGAGATGGTTTTATTTGTAGAAGGAAATATAATAGCAGTGACAACTCTAACTATGTGCATGTGGCACTAAAAGTTAGGAATGCAGCTAGTTAATTTGTTGCATAGACAATGAAGCATCTTAATTTATTATGTAAAAAGGCATAGATAATTTTACAGTAAGGAAAGGAAAAACTGAAGCATTGACTCAAGCTGTGTCTGTGTAAACTGAGAAGAGAAGAAGAACTGAGGGTGGCAATGCGTTAAAATGAGGAAACCGAAGCAACTGAAAATGGTATTAATAAAGACTAAGTCCCCTAAAAACTTTGAGCCTCACCACAATTTGGAGTGAATAGCACCAACAAAATGTGGTACAAAAAAAAAACTTAACCTACTAAGTGTCACTCAATTATCAAACCAAACGAGGGATTTCACCTAAAAACTCGTTTGCGGCAACGCAGAGCACGGTGGGTGCCCGTTCGGCGGTTCCCTTCTTCCTGGCGCCCGGGAGCACCGCATAGCGCATGGCATAGTGGATGCTCCAGGGAGGCTGAATGGGCATCACAACGTGAAGGTCAGACTCCACATTGGTGGCCAGGGAGTAGCAACGCAGGTCGAAGTAAGCAGAGCTGGCGGGAGCATAAGAGGTCAGGATAGCGAGGGAGATAGGCTGAGGGCTAATTGCAATTTACACGCCATGTGGCTGCTGTTGTACTTGCCATGTCAGATCTAAATGGTAGACGAATGGGTATATAGACCTCCCGTGATCTACTTAAAAAGCTTATGGACCCAAAACTACACTTTCAAAGTTCATGAACCTAGGTGATACATAGACAAAAGTCAATGAACATATGGTACATTTAACTCGTAGCAGAATAAGCAGTACCAGCATGCACACCACCTAGAAATACTATGTCAAACCATAGAATCACAATATCACAGTTAATAACAACATAAATTCAAGGCAAGCAAGTATTTACGAGAGAATTAGAAATCTAGAGAGCATGCCTCCGGAAATGTTATTCTTATTATTTTGGGGGCAATACAACCGGACATATGACAATACTAACAGAAGTATATTATACCTATGAATTGTGCAACCTGAGATTCTTTAATGAACTTCCTTTTGGCTACAATAACTAGTACCTCCTCAATACCAGCAACTTAAAGTGGTATAGGAGCCACAAAGAACAATGTAACAAGCCAACAAACACTTAGGAATTCTCCTCCACACTTACTGAAGTCTTCCTAGCTTTCTTGTCACTAATATATAATTGATATCCATATGAAACAAATCCCCAGATGGCCATCAACATAGCAATAATCTTCACTCCATCCATCTTGTCGTGGAAGAAGATCACAGCAAAAACTGGAATGATGGGTAGAGCTAGTGTGCTTATCACATTTGAAAAGAGTGATGACACAACAAAGATCAAACCCACCACTCCTACGGAAGCTATCTGCCAAGATACAGCAGTCCATAGAAGTGTCATCACATAGGACAGCCTCCCTGAGCTGAAGGCATGCATCTCTCCCTCTAAAGTCTTCCACTCACCGCTCGCAAATAACCCGATAAGAGAAGCTATTGTTGCCACTAGTGCAGTATATATCTGCATATTCAACACGACTGAGAAAGTTTCCTTCTTAATAACCTTCTCGAATGCGACTTGCATTAGAGAGAGAATTAGTGAGTATGTGGCTGAGGCTCCTAGGGTCAATGCGAAACCCAATATGTACTTCCCACGCGATAAACCATTAGTACCCTGAGAATCTTCGTCGACTCCAAGAAGTGCAGCGGAAAAGGTAAGGAGGATTACCGAGTTGAAAATCAATGCAGTGAACTTTTGAGCATTTAGGACATATGAGAAGATAGCATTGAAGGCCAGCTGACTAGCGCATATGAGCGAATATGTTGATACAGGAAGGTACAAGAGGCCATAGGAATACATCAAGTCATCGGCAGCAATGATGAGGCCCAAGGCAATATATATAAGAGTAATTTTGGCGACAGAAGTCTCAGGGTTACTGGTGGTTGTTTGTGTAGAAGGTGATTTTGAACGGAACAGATATAGGGCGACGAACAACACAGGAAAGCCAGCGGTTTGGACAAATGTGGACATCCACTTGCTATTTCCACCTTGGTTGTAGTAGAACCTACCAAGGAGTGTCGATGCTGTCTGACCAGCAACGAGGAAGAAAATGTTCACAGCTACCATCAGCCACCAATGCCAATGCTTGGTATGAGTGTTTTGAGGAGCTGTTTCATTAGTAGATGAAGTTTCAGGTTTGGATGATCCTGCAAACAACATACAGAACGTATTATCAACAGGTCATTCTGAAACTATAAATGCTAAGCACTCACGGTAACGGGAGATCCCAAAGTGAAACGCTCGTTTCTAGACAAGTGAAAACTCAGCTTGGCCGCTTTTCCTGACGAACAGGGCATAAACCCAGTAACCCATAGTGCTCTGAAATTACTGCACACAAGGAATTGTCCACGGTATATCTATGAGTTTTATGAAAACCAGCAGCGCTGTTCCCCCAAAGCTGACATTATTATTCCCAAACAAGAAAAAAATAATACAGGCATAGTTAATTAAGTGCAGAAACCAAAGGTTTCCTACACATCCTCATGACATGTTGCAAATATTTGGAGTCGTAATTAACAGCTGAACCAGTTCTGGCGAACGACCAATCAAACGCATTAACTCAGTGGACAGTAACTGAAAACGGACGCACGCGCACATGCCACAGAGCTCATGCAGCAATGAGCAATCAAAAGGCAATCCCGAGCGCGCGCACTGAGGAAGGAAGATGACCCAAACCCCAATCCCATGCCGGAACCAAAAACCCATTGACCCAACGGGACGCCATCCACCAGCAGGCAATTCATCGAACACCTCTCGCGCTCGAGTGTTCCAACGACGTACCGCTGATATAAACCCGAGAAAAGAAGAACATGTATCGGGGCGCTGCAGAGCAAACCCAATCTATGATACTCATCCGCGCTCCTCTCATCGCATCCTCAATGATGACCCGACATAGTTCACTCCGTCAGAGAGAGAGAACGAGCGGAGGACTGACCTGCGATCTGTACGTGGACCTCATCCTCCCCGATGCCTCCTCCGCCGCCGCCGCTCCCGCTGCTGCCGTCGTCGCCGGCCATGCCGTTCCCCGCGCGCGATCCGATGCGAGTGGGCTGTGCTGCGGAGGACGCGACGAGTGAAGCGAGGAGAGGACGAGAGAGGGAGAGAGGCGCAAGCGCAAGCGGTCAGCGACTCAGCGTGGGAGCGCCGCACGGGGGAAGGTTGGAAAAGCGGTGCACCTTCCTGGCTGCTGCTTGATTTCCTTCGTGTAGGGACACCAGGAGTCCAGGGCACCGCTCTTTTTTGGAATGGACCCGTGCAGTTGCAGCGCGGCCGGCCTTTCCGCGTCGCTGTCATGTGACCAAAGGGTGGACGGTCTTCTGTCTTCTGCGATCGCCCATTCGCCCGCTCGCGATCGCAACTTCATTTTTCCTGCGTGCGGCCGGCTGCGGCGGGGCCCTAACGGATTGGTTAGGGTCGGTAGCACGCCGGAGTTGAGTAGTTGACCATCCAAACCCAACACCGAAAAAAAATTGTGCTTGTTCGATGATGAGATGAGATGAGAGATGAGAGATGAGAGATGAGAGTGTTGTCATACGACGCTCCAGCTATAGCGCTAATGCTAATTGCTACGTGCCCGCGCAGCCCGTCTAATCCGATCTCCACGGTGCGGCGGCGGGACGTGCTGACTTTTTGCAGCCAAGACGCACCGCGAGACCGAGAAAACAACGTGAAACAGGAACAGGACGCTGCGCTTGTTGTCATGTGGTGTGGAGATCGGGCACGGGAATGTGATTCCGCAAAACCAGAGATGGCCGAGCTGGAGGCGCTGGTGCGTGGTGCCTACTGCCTGCTACATGGTTGCGTGATTTTTTCTCCGTTGGATGCTCGCGGCTCCTGACCGCACGTTGGTCGCGTACATACGCGCCGCCGTTTGCGTGTCCACAAGCTCTGACTTCGCCGGACGCCGCCCTCTCAGTGATGCGGCGAGACGGCAGTTTTGATCCCCAAGCGACGACGATGGCCGAGAGCAGCGGCCGAAAAGAAGACCCCGTGTCCACACCGGTCAGCTCTCGTGGGCTTCAGCTTCGATCATCGGCCTTTATGGGGGAGGACATCTCTTCAAAAGGTTTGCCTCAACTGCCTGATATTTCTTCATGAACTGCAAAATCAGACACTCACACTCTTTCACCTAATAAATCATGGAAATTACCTCTCTAACCCCTCCAAAGCTGGTTTCCTGGTGACGTGGTGCTAATGTGTCATGTGTGAGTGGTTTTGCGTTGATGAAAATGGACATGGCAAATCACTAAAAAAAACAAAGAAAAAGGAAAAAAAAATCATGTGACCCACGTGCTAGTCTCATGCCATATCCTCGTTCCTTGACTTATCTTCTTCCTCATGCTTCTGCTCACCCTTCACCCATGGCTTAAGCATGGGAGTCCATTCTCATCCTTGTGCTCCCTCTCAAGGTTGGACGTCTCCTCCAATGCGTAGCAAGAGCTGCCACAGCCACACCTTGTTGATTGCCATGCCTCGCCACAGCGCTGGCATTGCTACAGTAAGAAGTAATCACCAGGAGCCTTATCTGGTCTACAGCGCAATGACGGCCATGCCATATCCTTCTTAATTTTCTTTGGTGGCGGGCTCTCCCTCCTCCGCCACTACAAGCTTGCCACCTACCTATGGTGCTCCCTCACCGGCGCCCTATACATTCTCCACCGTGCCGCCTGTCTAGAGCCCATGCCCATCGCCTTCTACTTCCTCACCGCCTCGGCCTCCCTAGAGCTACATTTGTATCCTGGCTGATCGTTTCATTCGAGGCGTTCTGTCGCCCATGACCTCCTTCATCGCTGAGTCACTAGAGGAGGCGAGGGTCTTTGGGGGGAGGGGTTGGTGCTAGGAGGCTGAGGGCCTTAGGGGTAGGGTGATGGGACTGTGGATAGTAGGTGGCTAGCATTGAGAGGAAGCAGGAGGCGCCTAGGGTGCAACAGGGGCCACATTGGTGGAAGAAGGTGCGAGCTATCGAGGGAGAAGGTGGCGGCAACACCAGGAGGAGACAGGAGCTAGAGGTTGGACTGTGGAAGGGTGAAGGATGGCGCTAGGAGGTGACAACATGGTGAGAGAGGAGAAACAAGACTGGAGAGAAGGAGAAAGGAGAAAATATGAGACTGGTTTGTGGACCCCATGATCCGGTTTGCCACGTCATGTCCACATCAACGAAGCTACATGTCAAAACCAACACATCGGCGCCAGTGCCACACTACGAGAAATCCACCTTTGGAGAGATCTGGGAGGTAACTTGCACGGTTTTGCTAGTTGAAAGAGTGCCAATACTAGGTTTTGCTTTTTTGGGAGAATTTCCATGCTCAAATGACAGTTAACAAAAGCAGACAAGAAGGACTTTTTCCACGTCTCTTCTCTGTTGGCTTAAGAACCCTATGGCCATCCCAGTTCCTTTATGGGCTTCAACTACAACTTTACAATCTCATAATAAGCAGAATAGGATGAAAAGGAACCGAATACAAATGATTATGGACATTTTTTCTCAGATTCTAAGTCAGCTATGGATAATGTTGAATGTTCATCTAATGGATATCTGATTTTGAATACTCATAATTTGGACATGATAGAGATATTGAATGTTTGAATTTAGATAGGGATTATCTATTTGGTATTTCTACCTCGAAAATAGACAGATATCGAGAAATATTCGTTTTGTTTTCATGCCCGATCAGTGACATGCACAATATATCCCTAAAAATACCAAGCATAATAGGAAGTACGACACATCTGACAACTCAATATATACTTCTAATGCCAAATAGTATTGTTATATTCTTTTTCTAAAGGAGTGTGATTATATTCTTGTACGTGCATTATATATTACGGAGCTCCCTTCCTAATATATTTATTATTATCGTACCCCTTTGTCCTAAAATATAAGGGATATAAGTTTATCTTAAGTTAAATTATAAAGTTTGACCAAATTTATTAAGAAGAGTATTATATATATAACATCAAAGATGTAAATTATGAAAATATATTTCATAACATATCCAGTGATGCTAATTTAATGATGTAACTATTATTTTTCGTTTCCATTGTTTTGATTAAAGTTAACACAGTTTGAGGACAAACTTAAATCCCTTATATTTCAGGACTAAGAGAGTACCACAAAAGCTTAAAAAAACACCACGCCCACCAAAATAACCTATAAATTATTAAATTAATAAAGAAAACTATACCATTAAATTTGATGATAATCTAAAGGCTTAGAATACCACTTTGTTTGGTTCGTGACCTGTCATGCAGCAAGGCTGCCAGATAGCGATTTCCAACCTAAACACACAAAACTAGCTAGACGCCCACACAAAGATGTCCGGATTGAAACCAAACAAGCTGTAAACTAAAGAGTCCATGCCTAATATTAAGGTCTACAGTTAAGAGATTAGTTGGAAAAAGACAGAAGAACCTACGTGGCACCATCGTTGTTGTAAGAAAAATAGACCCTAGGCCCATTTACTTTGGATTTTGGTGTTTGATGACCAACACAACTAAATTGGACTAATGGATTTGCAAGTAATTATTTTGTAGTTCAATAGGATGCAAAACGTGACTTAGACGAATGCGACGTGATGATCCGATAATCAACACCTCAAGAAAGACATGTGAAGATGCATAGAAGACATACAAGGTCAAGCAAAGTCTAAGCATGAAGATTGGAACCAAGTCGGACGCTCCGATCAAGTGCCAGGCAACACCAGGCGTCGGCAGTTGTGATCGGACGCTGAGCGAAGCAGTGATCGGACGCACCGGTGACACTGTTCATCGTCACGACAGTGTTTTCAGCACGATTGGACGCAGCAAACTGGACGACCGGACGCACGAAGTGCAGCGTACGATCGTGTCCAAAGAGGTTCCAGAGCGGCGCCAGCGCGACCGGATGCGTCCGGTCGATGATGACCGGACTCTGGGCTGAGTTCGATCAACGCGCGCGCTCCAATGGTCGGGACGACCGGACGCGTCCGGTCGGTAGCAGAAAGTTGAGTTTCGCCCCCAACGACTACTTTCTCAGTGGGGCTTATAAATAGACCCCCCAACTGGCTATTTGAGTAGAGTCGAACTGAGAAAACATACCAAGGGTGTTGATACACCATTTTAGTGATCTCCACTTGCATAGTGCTTAGTGATTCATTAGGTGATTAGTATATGTGCTTTGCAAAGTGCTTAGGTTGATTAGACCATCGCTTATGCGCTTGCTCTAGGTTTAGGCCTAGTGTTTACTAAGGTTTGCATACCTCTTACCACTCGGTGCTTGCGCGCACCATTGTTGTACATCGGAGGGGCTTATAGTCTTGCGAGATCACACCAATCGCGTTCGTGGTGTGGCCGCCACCGTGTACCAGAGGGAATAAGGCCCGCGGTGGTTTGGCCGGAAGCTTGATAGTGAAGACGGCGGGGAGCATCCGAGAGAGGCTTGCCGGAAGGCACGTCGGAGACCCACTTGCGCGTGGGGAAGGCCCGAGGCTATCCACGGAGATGCCCGACCAAGAGCTTGGCCCTTGCGAGAGATTTCTTACGAGGGGCTCCAACGAGGACTAGGGGGAAGCTTGAGCGCTTCTCGATATCTCGGTAAAAATACTGGAGTTATCGACGGGAGTTTGCATATTTCTACCTTACTCTTTAGCTTTCGCATTTACATTGCAATCTTGGTGTGCTTTACTTTTCTAGCTTAGTGATAGGCTAGTTGAAAGGTTTGGAACCTAGGTTGTATAACTCCTTTTGCGGTAGAGATAGCAACATACTAGCAAAACTGTAGTTGCACTTTTAGATAATTTATCTTTTGCATAGGTTTTGCTAGGGTTAGAAAAAAGAGGCCATAGTTTAGAGTTAGACTTTTAAGTTGCCTAATTCACCCCCCTCCCTCTTAGACGTCACGGTCCCTTTCAATTGGTATCAGAGTCTGTTGGCTCAATTTGGATCTTTGGCTTCACCACCGCTGAGCCAACGCTATTTAGAGTGGTTGGGATGGATACCTCTAGGCCTCCGCACTTTGATGGCACTAACTTCCCTTACT